ACCAAAACTCTTTCATCTGAAGAAACATTATGAAAGCTCAAATCCTAAGGAAACCTTAGAGTGATGTTGGATATTTGCCATGTATTTGGGGGTGGGGAGTTTGGAGTCTAAGCTGGCCAGTAGCTGGGAGGAGCCTTGTGACATTGAGGAACTGAGGCCTGACCTAAGGAATAGAGTCTGAAGGAAGAAGCAGCCAAGAGGAAGCAAAAGAGGTAGGCAGACATTATTTCATCTACTTAATCCCTGTGCTTATCTGTATCCTTTGAAAGATGTGAGCAAAATTTAATGAAAAAAAAAAACTAGTCACTGATGACTCCCTACCTAAACTTGTTTTATAACCACTGTGATGGTCCTGTAGGCTAATATGAAACAATGAAACCATGTTGAGAAATGGAGTGCCTGACACCATAGTATACCTATCACTGCACATTTCATATCCTAGGTCATGCAATGAAGTGTGTTGAGATTGCTTAGCATGATTGTTGCGTCTACTTCTTGCCATCCATTCAGGAACTCTACACAGCTAATTCAGATAATCTATGGATGGTTCAGCAGACTAGAGCACCAGTGTGGCTCCAAGTAGACCCATGGAGATAAATTGTACTGGGCTTTCCTCTTCTTCTTCTCCTCCTCCTCCTCCTCCTCCTCCTTCTCCTTCTTCTTCTTTTCTCCTTCTCCACCTCCTCCTCCTTCTCCTGCTTCCTCTTCTTCCTCCTCCTTCCTCTTCTTCCTCTTCTCCTCCTCCTTCTCCTTTTCCTCCTCCTCCTCCTTTTTCTTCTTCTTCCTCTTCTTGTTTTCTTCTTCTTTCTCCTCTTCCTCTTCTCCTCTGGTTTTCAAGATAGAGTTTCTCGTTCTCTATATTGCCTTGGCTGTTATGGATCTCCCTCAGTAGACCAGGCTGACCTTGAACTCACAGAGGTTGCTGGGATTAAAAGTGTGGGCCACCAGGCCAGGCAGTGGTGACACATGCCTTTAATCCCAGCACTCAGGAGGCGGAGCCAGGTGGATCTCTATGAGTTCGAGGCCAGCCTGATCTACAGAGCAAGATCCAGGACAGGCAACAAAACTACACAGAGAAACCCTGTTTTGAAAAAAAGAAATGTGGGCCACTACTGCTGGAAGTTTATTCGTAAGGCCATTTAAAAGTGGATCAAATGGGCACAGTGGCAGCTACCATTTGACATTTTACCAAATGTCAGAAAACACTTCTATCTAGGTTTAGTATGTAACATTGCTGTCTGTTTGAGATTCAACTTCCATGAATACTTGTTAAATATTTGGTATAAAGTTATATGAAGACAATTAGACATAGTTATTAGCAATTAAAGTATATGGGCCCTAATAAAAGTTGTGGGAATAAATACTATGTAAAACTGATCTTGTTTTATTGTTTTGTTACTTATTATTGTTAAAGGAAATCAAATCAAACTTTTAATTTAGAGAATTTCAATAAGAATTTATAAATGATATTACATATACTCTAATATTTTCCTCTTCTAGCCATAGAATTTCTTATCTTGTCTCCATGGTAGCTAAAAGAACTATTTTTCTGTGGAAATGCTGGCTTTCTGAGAATAGTAAACACACTTGGTATTTACAAATCAACTTTGATCTCCAAGTATGATATCGTAAAAAAGGTATACCTCTGTATATAAAGAAGATACTATTTCCAACACATTCAGGTTCATTAAACACAAGGAAGAACCATAACGTGTCTTGCCAGCTTCAGGAACTATATGTATGCATGAAATAAATGATACAAGCATCAATTTATAGGCATCTGTAGAGGAAGAGAGTAGATGAGGCAAAAAGATGGCTTAATGTAATTTGGAATTTTTCACCATAACACAGTGTTAGAGCTATAATGTTTCTATCAGTCAGGTTCATACTATTGGGCAATGCACATTTTCATGCAATACTTCTGAGTCACTTTGCATTGGATTATCTGTGCATACAAAACAAAAACCAGCTTTTTCTCTAATAGCTGTTATGTATGTGCTTAATTTTTTATAATTAATGGGAAAGTCAAAGTTAGTTGATAGGAAATGAAAAAGAATTCGGCACATGATAAGAACTCCTGGATGTATGTTACCCTGGTGCCTATATGACCTGTGGCAGTAGCCAATTGTCTTTGATTGTTTTCCCAAACACAATGATAACACTCCATTGTCACAGACATCTAATGTTAAGAACAAATACTGAATATTTAGGGGTTTTATTATGGACAATAAATCAATGTAAATTACTATAGGCTGAACTACATTTTATGGCCAAAGTTATGACCCTTGAATTCTGAACATTACATCTGTCTAATTCAATAATAAAGTCCAGGAAATTTTATTCTATCATTAAATATTATAGTAGTCACCCTGAACTAAGCTTGAGCATGCTTAACCTTGAAATCTAGTTTAAGGATTTGGTAAAATCATAAAAATGAAAATCCCTAGTGCTTTGATATTTAAATTAAACTTCATGAACCAACAAAATAATTGCAGTTAGATCCATTGAAGAAAGCTTGAAGGAATTTCCTGTTTCATACATTTAAAAATTATATCATTTGCTGCTAGTGTGACCTCAGAGGGGTTACCACAAATTATGGCTTTTGGTTTTCCTCACCTATAGTATTTACATGAAATCTAGTGATGTTATTCAAACCAATTGGCCAATACTTACCAAATACACAAAATGGTGACATTAATACATGCTAGTTTTAATAGCAATAAATGCACAGTAAGACTATTGATATGTATTATCCCAATACTACTTGTAAAATAACTAATATTTCTCAATGAACAGAATATTTTATTTGACTCTGTCCCATTTTTCCTAGTATAACTGCAATCCGATGCATAGCTCAGAACTTCATATACTATTGTACAGACTAGGAGAACAATTCACATTTCCATAGTTGGATCCATACCCTAGATAACATTTCCTGTTCCTTACAGTGCAAATTCCCCTTCACCCAGTGAATGATTTGTCCTTTATTTTTAGAGCTGACATTGTACTTTGATAACAGGTGTTAAGATTTATCTATTGTACTCTATATAAGCATGAGATATTAGAGTGCATTAGTTTCCAAAACTAAGATGGTATTTGAAGGAAGCATTTCAGTTATTACTTGTTAAATGGTTTGTGTAAGTTATATGAAGACAATTGAACATATTGACAGTATATATATATATATATATATATGTATATATGTGCATATGTAGAAAGGTTTAAATAAACACATATATTTTGGGTAGAAAATATCCAAGGAAAATAGTCTAATTTTATTATATCTCATTAATAATTACAACAAACATTCACTTAAAAATACTCATGAATGTATGGGTTATGCAAGTTTGCAATGTGACAAGATCATTTGTAATAGTTAAAAATTCTGTTTATGCTACACATTTAAAAGTTTATTATAAAGATACAATGAAAATGCTGAAGAATATCAATATTCAGCATAAGACTATAGAAACATACAATTCATATTCCAAAATACATGTAGGCATATATAAGATCTTTGGCATACATTATCAATGTTAAGCAGATAGCCATCCTCACAACTTACCAGTTTTACTTACCACTTACATGTAAAGGAAAATTCAAATGAGGGAATAATTTCCAGGCTCCAGTTGTCTACTTTTAATTTGGAATTACAGGTATGCTTTCCTACTTGAATATATTTCCCATTACCCAATTTAGAACTTTATCAGAAAAATATATATTAAGCTACAGAACACATTACACACACACACACAGACGTACACACACATACACACACACACACAGACCCTACATCAAGAAATGAAAAGATAGAAGAAGAAAGGAAGGAAAGGAGAAAAGGATGGAAGAGATAAATTAATCAATTTAGAAACAGCATATCTGAGTTTGATCTGAATTCTGAGTAGCAAAATAAATAGTCTCTTCAGAGACCCACCACAAAATAGGCACCTAAGAGATGTACCAATATTGCTACCTTCTCTTCACATACATGGAAGTTTCATGTCATGTGCAAGGTTGTTTCTCTCCAGGCTCTTAGACAGAGGTCAATGCTGCTAGAGTATATTTTTCTCATGCAGTTAAAAGGAATTAAAGGTGATCTTTTTGGAATCATCAGGAAACAGGAAATAAAGGCAGAATATATTTTTCTACATGCATGCATTTCGGTATAAAGATAATTGCTTTATTACTGGGTGAAAGGAAGAAGGATTTGAGACAAAATTATTGCTGAAACAAACTACACTTAAATATTTTTCTGGAGACTCATTTTTTGCTTCAGTACATATTCAATAGTTAGCACATAGACATTATATTTTTAAAAAAAATCACTATGTACAGCTCCATGCATGAACAGAGGTACCCATCAGACATCCTCCAACAGGAATACTGTGCATTGAGAAGGCTGTCCAAGCAGAAGGACTGACCATTGGATGATAAAGACCTACAGACTATTACATAGCAGCAATCTTCCGTAACTGTGAACACTAGCTCTGATGACTTTGCACTTTTTCTTTTCTAGATATTTTTTTTCAGTAATAAGAAAAGAGCTATTTCTCCATGGTCGATGATTACCTCCATGAGTGGGTCTCCCTTCAGACGAGAAGCTCTCAACTGTGTAGACCACGACTGCATTTGTGCTTTCCAATCACTCACTTGTGACTGCACATTTTTACAGGATAAATGACCCTAAATCAAAGGCTTCCAGATGTTTATGTTGAAAAGTTATAGGTTCAAGCCTCTTTCATCTCCTTTTATGTAAATTATGCCTTGTATATTTCCCAAGTGAAGGACACTTGCAGAGGTATATCTTACCAGCAGAAATGCATAGTCTTATTTCCATCAGTGAGAAATCTTAAGGGTGATAGATATGGCTTAGTCAGTAAAGCACTTGCCTCACAAACATGAAGACCTGAGTAATGATCCCAGTACCCATGTAAAAAGCTGGGTGGATAGATATGTACATTTGAAACCCCAAGCCTTGAGAGGTAGAGAATGGCAAATACCTGGAGGTTGCTGGCAGTTTGCCAGCTACAGATGAGCGCCATCCCGAGGTGAGATAGTTGGTCTGAAACAAACCAAAACAATGAAGAACTCTCTCTTACACACACACACACACACACACACACACACACACACACACACACACACCACAAACATATACAAAATAAATTCAATGGACCTTTGTACATCAATTTGTCCCAAATTTTTTCTATAGAAAAATGCAAAAAAAAGGTAACATATTTTAAATAAGATAAGGATGTTGGTCATTTAAAATATATTTTACAGACAGCCCACAAACTATCTAGACCACTGCTTTTTATACATGTGTCCCTAAACATCCTGCTAGGTTTCTATATTCTGAATTTTTTTCTTTGACATTGCTTTTAAAATAGATTGTTCCAGGTTTCAGAAACAGATTCTGGGCTACAACAGGTATGTATGTATGTACCTTATGGTTGGAATGCTGAATTTTGAGTCACCTTTATATTGCTACTTCACACTAAGTTACTGCTGAATTTATTCAACATTGAGATTTTAAGAATTATAGTGGGACACTTGCTTTATATGAAGTGAATCAGTAGGAATAACTGTCACAAAAGCCAGATGACTATTATCATGCCTTTTTACCTTCCCAACCTGCTCATATTCCATTAGAGATATTTAATATCCCAGTATAGTCAATTTGAATACATTTGTAACATGTAAGAATCAAGTTTTGCCACGTGGTGGTGGCACACAGCTTTAATCCCAGCACTCAGGAGGCAGAACCAGGCAGATCTCTGTGAGTTCGAGGCCAGCCTAGTCTACAGAGTGAGATCCAGGACAGGCACCAAAACTACACAGAGAAACCCTGTCTCGGAAAAACAACAACAACAAAAGGAATCAAGTTTTATATTTCTTTTTCCACTTCTCAGACAGACTTATTGCCATGTATGAAGCTATTTTTGCTACTGATGTCGACAGTAAGAGCTCAGACATTTTCACATGGCACTTGAAGCACTTATGACTGATAATTCTCACCTATGGAAATATTTATATTTTTCTTGTGCATTTTTAGTCCTATTAGTTGAAAATGTTTGCCTATATAATTTGCTATTTCTCAAAAATGCTTCAATTACATTTTGTTGTTTATCATTTATCACTAAACATTAACTGCCCAAGTCAGAAATTCAATGCTCCATGTGCAGTGAGGGATTTTGTATTTTGTGAACTTCTTATTAATGGTAGAATTTCCTTAAATGGGAAGATCATAATGCGGACTGCCGAAGTGAGGTGGAGATGAAGTCAGATGGCTTTCTGTGCTCTCTCTTTATATCCTGTAGTTTTTCCAAAGTCAGCTTTCTCATTTTAAAATGTAAATAATATGTTAATATTTTTCTTTCTTCTTAAAAGTGTTATGGGGCTCCAAACTACTTTCTGCACAAATATTTAAATAGAAAACACTGTTAATGGAACTGGCTCTTTTTCTCTCCTACTATATCTTCTATGCTCTGAAAAACCTATGTTCCCTAGCTCATTATACAGCTGCTACCTAGTGGCCATGGTACAAGTGATCTATGGATGACCAATATTTTATTTATAGTGGCATTTTTGAGAGACATAGCACAGATGACATGGGTCATGTTCCCTATGCTTCAGTCACCATTAGCTAGTGACACAGACATAGGGATAATAAGAAGTTGTCACAATGAGGAGAGAGATGGCTCAGTGGTTAAGAGCACTGACTGATGTTCCAGAGGAACCAGGTTCAATCTCCAGGCTATCCGGTGTCTGATCACACCAGGATTAAAATAAACAAACAAAGAAAGAAAAGAAAAGAAATTGTCACAATGTAAGTTCCTGATAATTATGGATTCCCCAATTTAATTTCAATTAATAAACAGCTCTTTCAGAAAAAAAGAAATAGAAATACATCGTACATTAATCCACATAAAATAATGTGGTTGTGTTAGCAAAATACAGCATAATATATTTATTTAAATATATTGCTATGTGACTCCCTGTGGTTTTTTTTATTCAGAAGACTAAGATATAGAAGAAAAATAGAAGTTTTTTTTTTTTAAAAAAAAAAAAAAACTTAGATTAATGGGCATTTTAGATTTCTGTACAGATACTATGTAGTTACAATAACTATCTGCTTATATTTTATCTAAAAGCATTCTCACAGTGAATCTTTTGAATTCCTTTTGACATGTAGGCCACTAATTATCACATTTCTCACTAACAATGTGTTTGTTTTATTTTAATGGTGCCAGTAAGGAGGACAATTAACACACTTGTGATTTATGTGCTGAAATATGAAATCCAAATTGCTTAGCTAAATAATGTTTAATACATTAATCTTAAGAAATAAAAAATAACAGCATGAGTTCCTTCTCTGACCTCCTTTTAAGAGAGAGAGATGTGTGCTAGCCCCTCCTGGGACCTGAACATCATTTAATTCATTAATGCTCCCAGCAGTCACTAATTAGAGCAACAGCTTACTAGGGGAAGAAAGAAACCTTCTTGTTTGTTGCTGGTTGGACAAACTGGGAGTAATTGATATTTTTATTACTTGCCTATTTCCGGCTCTTTGCAGCTGTTTAGTAGTGTTACGAGAACACATATGTGCCTGACATGGAGTCTCTGTGTTTACACCATTCTTGTACTCAGCCCCTCGAATCCCTTGAGGCAGAGCAGACATTACCTCTCCATGATCTTCATCGTCCACTTCCTGGATACTCTGTGAGCCATAGTTGTCTATCATTCTATTCCCTCTCAAAAACTATAGGGCAGAAAGTGGATCATCTATTTCCAGTGTAGAATCCTGTAATGATATCAATGTTTATGGAACATAGAAAAACTAAGATAAACATATGAAGCAAATGGTGACAATTAACTAGTTCTCACAGAGGAGCATAATGACTTACTCCAGTGTGAACTAAATCTGCTTGGATAGGGTTGAAAAGCACAGGGAAATTAGATGGGGTGCCAACTACATCTCTGGCAGTCCAAAGCCTCTCGTCATAGTATGGTCCTTGTAAATAAATGTATTTTTATGGGAAATAGAAATAAAATTTGTAAACGTAAGGAGCAATTCTTGGCTCCACCATCTTGATGACCTATGACCATGGAGTCACGGTGAAAACTGCCCTCTTTGAAAATGTTTGGAGCAACATTCCTTCCCAGAATGCATTTAAAAAGGCATGCTGATGTTAGAGCGCCTGGTATAGAACTTTTGAACAGTTGACACTCATTTTATTCTGTGGTCACTTTATCAAACTCTTACCTTGGGTGCAACTTTATATGACTCATACATTCTTGATTCACCAATGAAATGGCCAGAGCTAGAAACTACTAAAAAGACTCGGCCTTGGCCATATGGCTACTAGATGCCAGATTGGAAGTCACTGCTCTGTTTGCCAACATCATTAGTTCCACTCTGAAGTGGAGAGGATGTGGATAAAGTGTTACCGTCACTTCAGATTATTCAAGGAGGCAATTTTCATTCAATATTTAAAGCCGTGCAGTTTTTAGTCATGCTGCTTATTGTAATACTGTCTTTGCAAAGTGCTGAGTCTCTGTAACTGAAGTCCAAAGGTTATGTGATAAATTATTTATAGGATGAGATATTTTAAAAAGGGGAGGGGGGAGGAGGAGAGTGCCAAATTGTCCTGGCACATCATTAAGAGAGGTTTCCTGGCCCTTTCCCCCTTTCTTCTAAGGTGAAAGCAGACCAGTCACTCTGATTGAGAAGTCCTCAATTCTCTCAATTAAGAATTAGCTGCCACTAATGAAAGTGGGTGGAGATGGAGTATTCCTGGCTACCAGAGAAAAGGAATTGTATAGTTGTCTCTAGAAAAAAAAATAAAACCCAACATAAAAAAATAAACATCATATTATTGGGAGATCAGGAAAAGACATAGCATGAGGAAGAGTCCAAGTGTATCAACTGAGAAAGTTTGGCCTGTAAAAAGAATCAGAAATTAGAGTAGAAAGAATTAAAATAAAAAATACAAATTTAACTTAGAAAATAACTTAGTTATAACACTGAAAAACACTCCATTCCTCCTAGTTCACTGAGGTTACCAATGAGACCAAACCTAAGGATGAGAGCAGAGACAAAGCTTTAATTTTTTTTTTTTTTTTTTTTTTTTTTTTTTTTTTTTTTTTTTTTTTTTTTTTTTTTTTT